TGTCGGAAGTTTGACTTCTAAACTTCCTTCGATGAATCATATGTTTGACCAAAATGACATTTTGTTACATTGTTGGGTATCCCTCCAAAATGTGATCATGGGGGTTTCAGCGTGTGCTTGTTTGTATGTTGCTTCTTGTGACTTGATGGTGCTTAATGTTTCACCCTTGGTGCTTTCTGGAAACAAATGATGCGAAAGTGAGGTGTTGTTTTTTGATGGGATTAGGGGATTGTTGTCGTGGTTGGTGTATTTTTTGTTTGCATCGTTTGTCAAGAGTCACAAGTTTGAAGAGAGGCCAACATATTTTGATGTCGTCTGTTCTTTAATGTTTGCTTAATTCCCCAAACGGAGTGTGACCAGGGGTTCTTCCGGTAGAAGTTAAGGCTCAAACATGAAGTCCTGGGTGACTATATTTCCGTCCTTTTTTATCATTAATAATGATGTACTGAAAAAAACCATATATCATATTTCGTTAACATTAGTTAACCACATTATGCACATCATGTTATAAAACCATTAAAGTTGCCACTCTTTCCCCATCCCAGCCATCCCATCCCATCTCGCCAAGGTGATTTGGACCGGCGTTTGGGCAGCGTCCTGGCGGCGGCCTTCAACGACCAGGACACTTTGCACGGCCGTGCCAAGCTGTTGGACGCCTTTGAGGCACCGTTCTGACGGTTTTTGGCCAAGGAACATGGAGATTTTCATGGAGTTTAATCACCTCGAAATGGGATTAACTCATGAAACACATTAAACATTATGATTGTATGAAAACACATCATGATATGAAAACAGATTGAACCATATTAAGACATATTGCTGTAAAAAAAATGAACAAATGGTGGAAGGAGACTGAAAGGCTTGGGATAGAATTCAATATTCACCATATGACCAACCCAGCAAATACAAAGCATAGTATGGAACTTCATAGTAACGAACACAAACTCTTATTATCATCGGCTGATTGCCGCGTGAACGTCAATGTTTGTCAGTGTAAACGTCTTTTTTGGTCTGGATTTGGGTGCATTGGTGAATGGGCACTATTGCTTCCATGGTTTGAGCATGTTTATTGCGTTCTGATAGATGTGGCCAAAGATGGGTCAAATTGGGTGACAATTTTGAGGCATGACAAAGTTGCATCAATCCTCGATTCACCCAGTGGCATCCTGGCTTCCCGGTATTTCCCGGTCCGAATCCTAAAGATCCTGAATGGCCCTTGAAACACCGCTGTGAATTTCAAACGCCGACCCGGACCTTTGGGACCCTTCGAAATGACATAAGACGCTAAAGACATACGCTAAAGACCGACTCGTTCTTTGTTACAGCAGAACGACTGTGTCCGTTCCACAGGGTCTCCTGGAACGACCCGTGATCCAAGCGGAGTTGGTCAGTCGACAGAAGGCGCCGACACCGTTGGAACATGGGGGGCCCACAGGGGACGGACAAAGATGGGCATAGAATGATGCAAAATGTGACCCGTATTTTGGATTTCAGATGATAGGGATTTGCACGACAAGATTCGCTTTTGCATTTGTTGAAAAACGTATGGCTTGCATTCAGTTCATACTGAACATGTGCATCTCAAAGTTAATCAGCTCCTGGACTGGAATTTGACTATGCTTGAGCATGTGGGTCTCAAATTTGACTCTGTTTGACTGCCAATCTGTCCCCAGTCACGCCCAGTCAAGCCTGGTCCGCCCCGAGGTGCTTATCGCGCAGTATCGACAGGATGTGGATGAGATCCATGCGCCTGGGATGGGTCATGATGGGTCGATAGTTTTGTTATGGGTCATTTGTTTGGTTTTGGGGTCACAAATTCACATTCCCCAGTGAGAATTTTAACGAGGAATGTGCCATTTTCAGACAGAGGACAATATCCTTGACATATCTGAGGAGTTTCTGTGTTAACTTTAGATATGATTTGGAAGCTTACGGCATCTTCTCAAGAGGCGGGATAGTGAGGCTTGGCGACTTGACTAGTAACCTGAATGCGTCAAAAAATGATTCTGAGGCCAATTTTAGCTCCAATCAGGAGAAGGTTGACACCTGCGAAACAGGCAGAGCCGACTACAGAGACCGTACAAGTTTCCGGTACCAAAATTTGAGCGATTGATTTTTTTCTGCGAACGCCAGCGTTAGATGCTTTGATTTCTTGAGACTTTTCGATTCCCCCTTGACCAACATGAGCTGAGATTGATTCACCACTTGGGTTCAAATATTTTTTGGTTTCAATCCTCATTTTTCTGCTCAGCACTTTTCAGCCTCATTTGATTTTGGTGGATGTTTTCATTTGGTTTGAGCTCCCTTTGTAGCTGATCATATTGTCCCAACGTGTCCCAACGCTTTTGTTGCTTCATCCGATTGCCGTCCCGACAGATGCACCCATCTTCTCCAACCTGCCTCCTGTGGCGGGCGCGCTGTCATGGGCGCGCAGCTTACGAACGCGGTTGCAGGACCCTGCTGCGGTTGGGAGTTCTTTTGATGTGCATAGTGTGCACAATGAAGAAAGACACGCATGACAAGTATTCCAATCTTAAAATATGTTTATAATGAATATTTCTGAAAGATTTTTGAGAATTTCAGAAATTTTGTCTATTTCACACTTTTGATCTTTTTTCCTTGAAAGATTCCGCGCTTCGGCTCCCAGGAGCCCATGCCAAAGATCCTGGCCTACAACGAGTTGATGAAAGAAGTGCCCGAAAGCTTTCGCGCTCGGGCCCTCGGGGTTTCTGCTGGGTTTCCATGCTGACTTTGAAGTCGTAGTGAACTCTTCATGGTCTCAATGTTAGATTAAAGCTGACTGATAGACTGGGATTCTTACATGATAGATCATGATAATGTCCATACTCAGCCGATTGCGGGTGATTTCTTATTCTTGCTTTGCGACGTCAACATGCAACACAGGCAACACAATATCATTTTTCGCATCTTGGAAAAGACAGTTGTTTGCCTCCAACCGAAGCATGTTGCTGAGCTAACCAACACGTTTCCGTGCATGGATCAATGTTTCATTCTTTCAGGGCTTACATATTTTGCACTAAAGCCATCGGTTTCAATTGTTGTCAGTCAGAGTTATGTTCACCACTTTCCCAGCCAATGTTCCCAAATTTTACGTCCAGTTCAGCCGTTATTCTCCATGACCAAGGAACTTTGTCGAATTCACGACCAGACGCTGGAGGTGCCAAAACCTGGCGCGGTAGAAATCAGTGATGATTTCGAATCGTTGTCAATTAATGGGAAAAACACGTGAACGCACCACTTTTTGGGCTTGTGATTTGTTTGTTTGAACAATCGCCATGTTCCGTTCGAGCAAATCCAGTGATGCGTTTGTGTCAGGCTCTTGATGAGTACGAGAGGCGTCGCTACAGCGAGTGGAAAGAGGAGGCACGTAGCACAGCGCGGTATGGAGTTGGTGAACAGTGAGCCACTTTCGGATTTCGCTGACAGAATTTTTGATGATATTGCAACATGATCCAACAAACCCATGCTTTTTTGATTTGTGAGGGGCGCAGATCCAGATAGGAGATTTATATAGATTTATTCTATCCTATCCGATTTTTAAAGCATGAAAGAGATGATTGGATCAGCTCACATGGCATGTAAATAATCAGAGTTTGGAATCTTGTCCAACAGTTCCCGACATTTTGCAACGAAAATTCCTTCCCCGTCTCCTACAGACAGTCCAGAATCACATTCGTCAGGGAAACAAAAATAGGGAAATAAATAGCGACAAAGGAAAATCAATAGAAAATCAAATAGGGACATCAATGGGGAAATAAATAGGGAAGTAAATAAGGAAAAATATGGAAACACATAGGAAAACAAAAAGAGACACTGATATCGAAATGAATAGGGAAATAATTTGGGAAATAAATAGGGAAATAAATCGGGAAACAAATAGGGACATATATATTGGAAAATAGAGAAACAAATATGGAAACATTTAAATAAGGGAGTAAATGGAGAAAAAGAGGGAAATAAAAGGGAACACATATATAGGGGAAATATAATAGGGCCATATATCGGGAAATAAATCGGGAAATAAACATTGAAATCAATAGCGAAATAAATCGGGAAATAAATAGGGAAATAAATCGGGACATAAATGGGGAAATGAGTAGGGAAGGAAATAAATAGGGAAATAACTCAGGAAATGAATAGGGAAATAAAAAATAGGAAGATAAATCGAGAAGTAACTAGGGAAAAACCAAAGGGAACTAAATGGGGAAATGAATCACGAAATAGATCGGGAAATTGATCGGGAAAGAAATCGGGAAATAAAGAGGGAAATAAATAGGGAAATAACTAGGGAAATAAATAGGGAAATAAATAGGGACATAAATAGGGAAATAAATAGGGAAATAAATAGGGAAATAAATAGGGAAATAAATAGGGAAATAAATAGGGGCAAAAATCGGGAAATAAATAGGGAAATAAATAGGGAAATAAATGAGGGAATAAATTAGGGAAATAAATAGGGCAATAAATAGGGAAATAATTTAGGGAAATAAATAGGGAAATAAATAGGGAAATAAATAGGGAAATAAATGAGGGAAATAAAGAGGCAAAAAAAAGGGAACTAATTAGGGAAATAAATAGGGAAATAAATTAGGGAAAAAATAGGGAAATAAATAGGGAAATAAGTAGGGAAATAAATAGGGGCATAAGTAGGGAAATAAATAGGGAAATAAATTGGGAAATAAATTAGGGAAATAAATAGGGAAATAAATAGGGAAATAAATAGGGACATAAATAGGGAAATTAATTAGGGAAATAAACTTGGGAATTAAATGGGGAAATAAATAGGGGAATAAATGGGGAAATAAATAGGGAAATAAATAGGGAAATAAATAGGGAAATAAATAGGGAAATAAATAGGGAAATAAATAGGGAAATAAATAGGGAAATACATAGAGAAATAAATTGGGGCAAAAATCGGGAAATAAAGAGGCAAAAAATAAAGGAACTAATTAGGGAAATAAATAGGGAAATAAATTAGGGAAATAATTTAGGGAAATAAATAGGGAAATAAATAGGGAAATAAATAGGGAAATAAATTGGGAAATAGATGAGGGAAATAAATTAGGGCAATAAATTAGGGAAATAAATAGGGGCAAAAATCGGGAAATAAAGAGGCAAAAAAAAGGGAACTAATTAGGGAAATAAATAGGGAAATAAATTAGGGAAATAAATAGGGAAATAAATAGGGAAATAAATAGGGAAATAAATTAGGGAAATAACTAGGGAAATAAATAGGGGAATAAATAGGGAAATAAATAGGGAAATAAGTAGGGAAATAAATAGGGAAATAAATGAGGGAAATAAATAGGGAAATAAATAGGGAAATAAATAGGGCAATTAATAGGGAAATAGAAAGGGAAATAAAAAGGGAAATAAATAGGGAAATAAATTAAGGCAATACATTAGGGAAATAAATAGGAAAATAAATAGGGAAATAAATAGAGAAATAAATTAGGGAAATAAATTAGGGAAATAAATAGCGGCATAAAATGGGAAATAAATCGGGAAATAAATAGGGAAATAAATGAGGGAAATAAAGAGGCAAAAAAAAGGGAACTAATTAGGGACATAAATAGGGAAATACATAGGGAAATAAAAAGGGGAATAAATAGGGAAATAAATAGGGACATAAATAGGGAAATTAATTAGGGAAATAAACTTGGGAATTAAATGGGGAAATAAATAGGGGAATAAATGGGGAAATAAATAGGGAAATAAATAGGGAAATAAATAGGGAAATAAATAGGGAAATAAATAGGGAAATAAATAGGGAAATAAATTGGGAAATACATAGGGAAATAAATAGGGAAATAGATAGGGAAATAGATTAGGGAAATAAATAGAGAAGTAAATTAGGGAAATAAATTGGGGCAAAAATCGGGAAATAAAGAGGCAAAAAATAAGGGAACTAATTAGGAAAATAAATAGGGAAATAAATTAAGGAAATAAATAGGGAAAAAAAAATAGGGAAATAAGTAGGGAAATAAATAGGGAAATAAATAGGGAAATAAATAGGGAAATAAATTAGGGAAATAAATTAGGGAAATAAAAAGGGGGGAAAATCGGGAAATAAATAGGGAAATAAATAGGGAAATAAGTAGGGAAATAAATAGGGAAATAAACTTGGGAATTAAATGGGGAAATAAATAGGGAAATAAATAGGGAAATAAATAGGGAAATAAATAGGGAAATCAATAGGGAAATAAATTAGGGAAATAGATTAGGGAAATAGGGAAATAAACTTGGGAATTAAATGGGGAAATAAATAGGGAAATAAATTAGGGAAATAAATAGGGAAATAAATAGGGAAATCAATAGGGAAATAAATTAGGGAAATAGATTAGGGAAATAAATAAGGAAATAAATAGGGAAATAAATCGGGAAATAAATTAGGGAAATAAATTAGGGAAATAAATAGGGAAATAAATTAGGGAAATAAATTAGGGAAATAAATAGCGGCATAAATTAGGGAAATAAATAGGGACATAAATAGGGAAATAAATAGGGAAATACATAGAGAAATAAATAGGGAAATAAATTAGGGAAATAAATAGGGAAAAAATTGGGAAATAAATCGGGAAATAAGTAGGGAAATAAATGGGGGCATAAATAGGGAAATACAGAGGGAAATAAGTAAAGAAATAAATTAAGGAAATAAATTAGGGAAATAAATAGGGAAATAAATAGGGGAATAAATAGGGACATAAATAGAGAAATAAATAGGGAAATAAATAGCGGCATAAATTAGGGAAATAAATAGGGAAATAAATAGGGAGATAAATTAGGGAAATAAATTGGAGCTTAAGGGTTAAGCGTTACTTTCGTGGTAGTGAGTGCATGCTGGGTAGGATTTGTCTCAAGTCCAAACTGTGGCAGTGTGAGGGGCCCCCCATAGCCTCATGCTGCGTTTTTTCCTTTTGGCCGGCTTCCTTTGTGATCACGGCAATGGGTGGTGGTTTTCTGGGAATTCAACGACTGTCCCTCCACCATCTTCCACGTGGGAGCGGCTGCAAGATCGATTGGCGGGGTTCTCCGTCCTGACCGGGCAGTGGCGGGATCTGGGAAACCAGGCTTTCTCGGAGGCTCACCGCTGGGCTGAAGGTTTTGATGTTCCCAGAGTGGAATTCGGTTTCAATCTATGGTTGATTGTGGATACTCTGGTTGGGTTCATGGGATGGGCGATCTTTGGAAACGCCTGGCAAGGTGTTAGGACTGGTTGCCGTAGGATCCTACAAATAGGGGCACTGTTGCTAGCATGCCTTGTTGCTCATTACATCTGGGCGGTTTGCTATCCGGTGGTGTCCATCATCGTAGCATGCCTCATGGCGGTGATTTGGGTCTGCAGACGGGTTCTACGGCTGGTGGGTACCCTGATCTTTCACATGCATCGCTTTGCTGGTGGCGCCCCTGAGGCATCAGATGTTGAATTCCACGGCCCTGGAACGGGAGTGGTTCCAGAGACATCGACGTTGCGTAGCTTCAAGAGGACTGGAGATGCTGTCAAGCAGGTGGTGGTGAGACGTGGGGACGAAGTTGCCGTCTTCAGTGTAGGCAACGACGTTCAGAACATCCGGACCCATGGGCTTTTCCTGCCTGTTGAGGCTGACACCATCAGAGGTTCACCTGGACTGGTGAGGCGCATCGCTGCTGTCGACAGGATCCATCTTTGCCGCAATGTGGTTTGCGGTGAAGAGGTTGGAGAACACTTCGCCGAATATGGAGTAGTGCGGAAGTTCAACCCGGAGAAGTTTCAGGTTGCCCATTCCCATCAAGGAGCTGTCGAAGCGACCAAGGGTCTCTGGCGCTGGATCGCACCACGTGGGAAGCAGACTGTGTCGGAAGTGGTGACCCGTATCCGAGAGTATGCATCTGAATCCGAGACGGAAGAACAGTCGTGTAATGCCAGTAGGGTCACTTGGAAGACTGCTGATGGTGTGCAGTTTCTTGCTGAATCGCGTTGTAAAGCTGCAGGTACTGCGTTTCACCAAGTTCTGGTAGAAGACAACGTAGAAGGTGGAGTCTTTTTGTGTCCCAAGCATGCAACTTCATACCTTACGAAACGATACCCCTCCAAATGTGGTAATGTTGAGTGTAATCGTGTTGGTACTCAGCTCCGCTTTGGTGTGCGCATGTGCAAGAGCCACCAGTCTGAACGAGCCGAACCAGAGGAAGACGGCCCCCAAAAGCGGTCCCGTTCGAGGTCAAGAGCAAGGGCTTCGAAGGGTGAGCCCTCCAGAGATTTTGATCAGGAAGCAGATGACGAGGATGATGAGGAGAATGGGTCGTCGAAGGCACGGACTCTGTTGGAAGAGGCTGCAGAGGCCGCTGATGGGCGGAGGCAGAAGAAGAGGGCAGTATCGAGATCTCCTGGACACACGCCCAAGTCCAGTATCCAGAGGAGTTTGGCCAGAATCGAGATGCTCAGTTCCCCTGGCTCGGAGGCAGAGACTAAGCTGCTGGAGGCGTTCATGGAGTGGTTTGCACAAGGCAAGGCAGATGGAGTGAAGGAGGAACAGGTGAGGAAGAGATTGGCAAGGGAGCGCCTGATGACCGACCAGGAGGTTGTCAGACGCCTCATTGAGGAGGCAGAGGTTGAGCAGGCCAATGGACAAAGAGGGCTCACGCGGTTTCTCAGCAAATGGCGCAAGGAACTCAAGGATGGGAGCACCCCGAGCGAGAAACATGACTCAGAATGGAGCCTTTTGACATCGCCTCAGGCAGCAGCAGAGGTTAGGTCCACTATGCCTCCCATTCCGCAGTCCTTTCAACCTGATCCACCAGGAAGTCGGCCGTTCGCTGGAGTGAGCCCGACCGGTGTGAAGGAGAAGGCAACAACGCCTAGCCCGAAGCCAGTGTCTGAGGTGAGGAGTCAAGAGATCAAGATTCTCCCCCCCGGGCTCTACCATCTGGACAGAAAGGCGGGAGCTGGTGAGCCTGGTGAAAAGACGGTTGAGCCTGTGGAGCAGATTGCAAAAGCGCTGCAAAGCCAGACAGCAGAATTGGCCAGCCTAGTAAGGCATCAGGCTGAAGGAGGAGGCTCACAACCACCTGGAACTTTGAAGGGCCTTGGAAAGCAATCTGAGGAGCTCGTGTTCCTGATGAGGGCCTGTGGGCAGTATGATGTCAAGGTAGGAGAAGGAGAGCATGGTCAAGCGTTGGCCAACGGCCTGATCGCTGCGCAAGTCGGTGCTGCCACAAGGCTGAGGAGCGCCGGATTTCGTCAGAAGATGACGCAGCGGCTGGCCATCGGTTTGGCAGGGCCCTTTTGGGGAGTTCATGAACGACATGCTCTGTCTGCTTCCGACTTCATTGGCTACACCGACGCCGAGCTTGACCAGTTTGCATCCGAAGCCCGAGGAGCAAAAGGAACCAATGACCAAAGGCCACCACTACCGACCAGGTTCGACGAGTGGGTGGCTCGGGTTCGTCGTCAAACAGATGTGTGGTGCCTGGTATATGGAGCGGAATGGCGAGCTGTGCGAGCCAATGCACTGGACTTGCTTTCAGAGTGGCATCTGAGCTCACCCCACAAATGGCCGTTGACGGTGGTGATGGACCTGTGGGAAGAACTACATTGGAGATGCATGGAAGATTTCAAGGACATCCTCAGAAAGCTCAAGAAGGAGGTCGGAAGGGAGACGATGACCCTCGCTGAGTTGAAATTCCATGCACTTTTGCCAGGTCCAGACGGGCAGGCGTGGTTGGTGATGCCCAGCGTCTTTGATCTACAACGCCCAGGCTCTTGGTTTCAGGAGGAAGTGTTGCCGAGGATCGAGAGGAGACAGGAGCGTTTGTTGTGGCACTTGACATGGCAAGGTGGGCAGAGAAGGGATAGACCACAGACCCCGGCGGCAAACACTACGGCAGGAGGATCTGATGGAGACAAGCTGTCTTTGAAGAGTCTATGGGGCCCGAAGCTGACCGCCGAAGAGGTGACCAGAGCCAAGGAGAGAGCACCCTTGGATCGACATGGAAACCTTCTCTGCTGGGGCAACCTTTGTCATATTGGATGCCAAGCACAGTCATGCCAGAGATCACATGATGGACTAAGGGGCCCTTTCGAAGCGCTGGACCCCGCCGTGCAGATGCAACTCCTCAAACGAGGAGGGCTCAAGAGGATGAAAGCTGAAACCAAAGAGAGTGTCATGGCGAAGGTCAAAGATCTGAGGGCCAAGGTCGAGAAGGACAAAGGAGAGAAGATCCAGGATGGCAAACGGAGGACGACCAAAGCAGGCCAAGCACAGGATGCCGGTGATTCAGGACAGGGAGATGCCGCCAATGAGGCAGGGTCAAAGGCCGGAGGAGCTGTGGAGAAGGTCGTCAGGTTTTGGGAACCCCCAGAGGAGTTCAAGGTCGATTACACCGAAGCCGAAGATGTGAAGGATCTTGTCAAAGGGCCACCCGAGAATTGGGGGGAAGAAGGTTTTCGACCAGCCAAGGATCACCCGGGACAGCAAGGAATGAGTGCACCGAAAGAAGCTCATCGCTTGGTGAAGGAGGCACAGAGGTTGGCTAGCAACTCTGTGCTACAGCGGTTGGAAGGGGCTTCGGACGACCTATATGCTTGGGCGGCCTCTCGTGTTGCAAGGGATCCAGATCTTCGATACGACCAGCTCCTGATCGAGATGGCCACCTATGGGCTGGGCGAGTTAGCCAAAGAGGCTGCAGATCTGTTGGATGAGGACCGAGGACCGAAGGCTGGGTCTGCACGGCTCACGGTGCAGGAAGCAACATGGAGCGGTGGTGGCCCTGGCGAAGGGAAGGTGTGCATTGATGGCTGTGAATGGAAGTACCTGGATTACAAGGAGGAGGTCTACATGACTGACGAGCTGGCCGCCCTCCTCAAGCTGCCAGAGCCGTGCAAGGAGAAGAGACAGTGCGTCACCCTCACTTTGGCTGCTGCTGTGTTCAGAAAGCAGCACGGGAGGTGGCCGAGCATGGGAGAGGCACAGCAGGTTGCACAGAGAATGAGACTCGAACAGACCCGTTTGGCCGCTGAAGCAGCAGCCACTCTGGGAGAACCAGAAGAAATGGTATCAGCGGTAGAGCATGAAGCCCGGATCTACATCCACGACTTGGTGACAGCCCATCATGAGAAGGACTTCAGATGTCTGGCTATGTTCCCGGTTACAGATCTTCAAGAAGCTCGGGTGGTGGTCTTCAGAACTGACTTCAAAGGAGGCTTGTTGGTGGAGAGCGTGGTAGGCAGCCAGTGGGCCCCAGGAGGGTGGACCATCCCGGTCTTGATCTGGAAAGGACACATGGTTGTCCTGCAACCCCCGGAAGAACTGGATGTTGCGGGGTTGGTGGAAGACGAAGACCATACAGTGACACCAGCATTGGGCTTCACATTCTTTTGGCACTCCCGTCATGACCAACCACAAACCGCACCTGGACGGTTACATTGTCGCCTATGCAAGGGAGCGGTCAGGAAGGCTGGGGAAGTACCACTGTGCAGACCAAAAAGTTGTCTAGCACTCCTTGCAACAGTGGGACCACAGAACCAGGACCAAACCCAGGTCATTAGAGGAGTTGCTCAGGTGACCGCACAGGATGACCCCCACGCGTTGGTTCTTCAGGAGGTTTTTGCGGGCACTGGGAGGATTACAACTGGTTGGAAGAAGAATGGGACAGCACTGGAGCCGATTGAGGTGTATGCAGAGCCACATTGCAAGAGAGGTTACCGTCGTAGCCATGATCTTCTGAGGGAGGAGGTGCGCAAGGAGGTCCTTGAGAAGTCCCGAAGAGGGGAGGCAAATGTGTGGTGGATTGCAGCCCCTTGCACCAGTTTTTGCGATTGGCAGCTGGAAAACGGTGGGTCCCGTACCTTTGCACAACCAGAGGGTTCTGGGGAGGGTCCGCTGAGTCAGAGAGAGGAGGAAGGGAATACTTTGTCTACTTTCTCGGCGGAGCTCTTCGAACAAGCCCTCGACAACAATCAGTTCCCGATCTGCGAGTCCACTGCTGCCAGTGGTCGCTACCCCAAGCAGTGGGACCTTGCGGCCTGGCGTCGGGTACTGAGTCGCCCTGATGTCGACTTCATCGAGTTCCCCATGTGCTCATTTGGACTGGGACCTCCAGATGATCCGACGGCGTTCTACGTCCACCGAACCCGTCTGGTGTTTCCGAAGCACTGGCCTCTGCGGCAGGTGCTCCTCAGGCAATGCCCGGGTGTGGGCCCGAAACATCGCCATGTGGCTCTCCAAGGACAACGGCAAGGGCAGACAGTGACCAGGTGTACAGAGGCTGGTGCATATGCATGGGACTTCGTCACCACGGTTGTGGCTGCGTTGCAATCGTCTTGGGGGGGGGCAGGTTTTTACCACAGCAACCCTTGGAGGAAGAGTCGCATGCAGGAGGCAAGAGAGGGCACGAGGACGTTGGAGGAGAAAAACCAAGGGGCTCCCGAGACTCAGTGGAGGAGACTGAGAGGAGCGCCTATGACGAGTTTGACGAGGATACCAAGGAGTTCCTGGAGTTTGTATGCGATGAGACAGATCTTGAGAGGTTGAGGAGAACTGGGAGCTTGCGCAAGGAAGAAAAGGAGAGCCAGCACCAAAGCTCAGCTGAGGAGGCTAGTGAAGGATCTCCGTTGCCTCCCAACGAAACGCTGGACCAGTTTCTGGATGAGGTTGTACCCCACCCAGATGACTTGGAGCAAAGCTTTGAGGAGAGTGAAAGGGAGGGGAGGAGCGCGTCAGAGCAAGCAACCGGGCCACGTTGTGGAGGAAGTGAGAGGAGCCATCCCAGTGAGGAAGAACCCGCAGATGGCGAACCAGGCGAGGATGAGGAAGGGTATGAGTCAGAGAGTGACGGCCTTTTCTCTACGGGGTCAAGAAGGAGCAGGGACTTGGATGTCGAGGTGAGTCAGAACGTAAGGCAGTCCATGGAACAGAACCCAGGGGCCGAAGGACCTGAGGTCAAGGACTTCTGGAACGTGATCACCAATCGGCCTTACAAGAGGGTGAGGGTGCACGCAAGAAGGAGGAGGACTTTATACGTTCCGCAACAGAGTGATCTGACCTTCCCCTTGTCGTGCCTGAAGAACGAGCGTAGGACCGTTTTGGTCAACCAGCAGAATGTCAGGGTGGTCATTGATGACAATTGGCGAGTGGCTGGTGAGGTCAACGTCGGGTACGGAGAGTGGTGTGGATTTACCTTTTTCAAGCTGCTTGGAGGACCTGATGAGCAGTATCCACCAGGGGAAGGAGATACGCAAGATCATGATGACTATTCACCCGAGGAAGAGGAGTGGGCCGCAGACCACAGAGGTTACTACGCAGCAGGACGCAGTGCCACAGACCACAAGAGCTCGAACACCGGAGCCACAGACCACAAAGGAGACGGGCCCAGTGATCATAGAGGAGATGGTGCCACAGACCACAGTTCAGGTGAGGCAGAAGGCAAGGCCACAGACCACAAAGGGGAGCCATTAGCCACAGACCACACAGTGAGGGCTGATCCAAAGGGTATCTATTGCGCCCCCTCGATGAAGGCGTATGAAGCCGCTGCAGCCTATGTGGATGAGGTGGACAAGGCCTTCGAGAATACCGCCCTGGGCTGGAGAAACCTAGTGGAGAAAGGGAACTGCTTGGTGAGGAGCGCTGGAAGCGTGACGAAAGCTGCGGAGAGCCTGTGGCAAGTCAGGGAGGATCGAGGACTGATGAACCTGAAGGGCATCGACCAAGAGGAGTTTGACGAGGTCCTGCACCCCGACTTGTTGCAGTACCTCCGAACGGTCAGGAAGGAAGGAATGCCTGCCAGGTATGTAGGCAGTCGGCACAGGGTGAAAGCAAAGCTCCACCCAAATGCCAGGAGGAACGTAGACCAGGTCTACCAGCAGGTTGCGAAGGATGTGAAGAAGCATCGAGCCCTGGTTGTCGACGGCGAGTTGGAGGAATTGGCTGGCACAGTATCTTCCCCGTTCGAGGCTGTGGACAAGTTGCTTCCAGACCGATCCATCAGCAAGGAGAAACGGATTGTGCATGACCAACGGACCATCAACAAGGGAACATCGAAGTTTTGGCATCCACCCGCTCTTCAACCAATGCATGTTCAAGTGGCAAGGAGAGTGATGTGGATGAAGAGCAAGTTTCCAGGCGTTCCCATTCTGATGTCCAAGAAGGATATTGCCGGAGCATTCAGGCTGATCTGGGTGGCACCACCTGATGTGGAGCTGTTTGCGGGGGATTTGCCCTGGCAACCGGAACGGGCCTTTGGGGAGGAGCACAAGGACGTGGAGTCACCAGCCAAAGGAGACATCACCGTCATCTACCTTGTCTCCAGCTTTGGGTTTTCCGGCTCTCCAGGGGAGTGGACCATGTGGGGCAGAGCGACAGAGGAGTACCACAGGGGCCATCGACCGAAGGAGCCGAGGAGAGATCTGGGGTTGGGGTTCGATGCGAAGGTCCTGGTCGACGATTGCATCCTGATCGAGCCCTGGATTGGCTATCGACCATGGGTTAGCGCTGAGGTTTTCGAGGACGGAGTCAGGAAGATGCTCGGGGAGAAGGCCATCAACCAGGACAAGGATGGGGTGGAAGGAACTTTCCGCACTTCGCAGACGGTCTGGGGTGTGATTATGGAGACGGACACAGAGAAGGCAATGCTTCCCGAGAGGAGAGTCACCAAAGGAGCAGTCCTTTTGGCTGAAGCTTGCTTTGACTTCGGATGCAAGGAGATCACCCTGAAACAGATGCAGCAGTTCAGAGGAATTATGACCGGATGGGCTTCCATTGTGCAAGGGTTGGCCAACGAGCTGAAGGCAGCAGACAAGTTCCTCCGAGGCTGGAATGGTGCTGAACATGTGAAGGTCAACCTGAAAGGCGATGGTACACCAGGTTGGGAGACACAGAAGGCCTGGGAGGATTTGTGGGAGCTCTTCGAAGTCTGCAGATGGCTGAGTGCGAGGACAGATCAGTGGGATTTGCTATTCTCTACCACTTTGAGGAGGATGCTTCCACCGCTGGAGCGCTTGGCACTCCCCCAGGAATGGGATGAGGTGGTCTTTGTTTCCTCGGACTCGACGCCGGACATGTTGGGCGCCATTGATTGGAAAAATGGACGACTTTTCCGGGAGAAGTTCACCGCCCTGAAACCGTGGATCGACCAGGTCCTCACTGATATCGAGGCACAGGACAGCGAGGAGAAGGTCGTGATCCATTTGGGAGAAATGCTGTCCTTCGTGGCGTTTGCATGCGCAATGGGACCCTATTGGAAGGGCCGTGTGGTCATCTATGCCGGCGACAACGCCATTGTCAAGCACTGGCTCAACAGCCGCAGGAGCAGGATCCGAGGTGGAAGAATGTTGGTGCGTGTGGTGAACATGGTGGAAATGCGGTGGGGATGCCAAATCCTTTCAGGTTGGTGGCGTACCTATCACAACGTCAATGCCGACTTTATCACCCGGTGCACCGAGAAGGAGTTTGAGGAGTACAAAGAGAGGAAAGGGTGGCAGGAAGTCAATGTCAAGGAGCAGGTGCATCAGGCTCTCAAGGACACCGAACTTTTCGGCCCTTGTTTCCTTTATGCCACCGATGACCAGGACAGAAAGGTGCTCATGCAGCTACGTGAACGAAGGGTGTTGAGGCAGCTGCAGAAGGAAGTCACAGTGCCCTGGCCAACCATCAAGGTGGTGGAGTGGTCTGCTACAGGGCGGAAGGTGAAGGACTTCTTGGAGGTAGCTGGACACCTGGGCGCAAAGATCGACCACCAAACCGACGAAGGACCAGTCATTCTTTGCGCCACACTTGGCGTGGACAGTCAAGGGCGACAGCTTTGCAAAGTTTTGGACACTGCTTGTACCATTAAAGCTTGGTTTGCAGTGGTGGAGGGCCCCAGGGCGGTGGCATGGGAACTTGGTGAGCAGAAGTGTCACCGTCGAGGTTGGGATTGTGCAGTCGTTGAATTCGTCACCACGGAGTTTGGTGAGGCCATGGCGCGAAGGCGCAGATGCATGTTTATCAGTACAGAAGGCATTTTGCCGGAAGGTTGGATGGATGGCCTCGTGAAGGTGGGCAACCCGGTGCCAGTTCAGACGGTGTTGAAGGCGAAACCATGGGAAGATCTGGCCTGGTCCAAGCCAATGAGGATTGAATTGGAGAGCGGAATCCCGAGGGATAGAATGCTCCCAAACCCTGTCGGCCATTTCTTTTTTCAAGAGCAGGAGCGACTGACATGCCATGGCGTGGACGGACCAGCACCGTGGCCGAAGATTGAAGAGGGCACTGGCCGGCTGAAGGAGGTTTTGATGTTTGATCGCAGAGGGCCACCGGGCCACATGAGAAAGCTCACCTTGGAGGAGATTTGGATCTTGCAGGGTCGTAGCCTGACCGACCTTAGGAGCAACAGGATCACAGAGGACTTGGTCGCCGAAGGATGCAGAGCCACAGGAGTAAGGACGGCTTCCTCGCTTTTGCTGTGTGTTGGCCATATGGTTGAGGCGAAGATTGGTGAGGAGGCGACCAAAGCTGGAGGATGCAAGGAGCGAGAAGGACCAGAAGCGCTGGCCCAAATTTTGCTTTGGTTGAGGAGATGGAAACGAGGAGATTTTGGTCGGCATGCCGGAGGGCGCATTGACAGTTTTGAAGACCGCGTGGTTTATCGATGGGCCGAAGCATGGTGGATGGAGATGCTTGAGGAGCCAGAAGAGGAGACAACCGACCGCAAAGCGGGAGGTAGAAGAAAGAAGGTAGACCCGTCAGAGATTGCTGAGAAGGTCTCCAAACAGTTCGTCACGGCTTTGGGCATGCAGGTTCGGCCATTTCACGGTGAAGTCAAAGAGAGAGTGGAGGAGTGGCTCGAGGAGAACATGTGTGGTGACAAGGCACCAGCCACGGAGAAAGCATACGCCAGCTCTTGGATGAAGTGGCAGGCATGGGCTCGACGCCAAGGATGGCTGTCAGAATACCTGGATAGAAGCCAGGATGTGGTGGAACGAGAAAACCGTCTCCTGGGCTATGTGGGATATCTTGGATGGTTGGGAGCTTCTGCAAATACCATCCGGCAGAATATCTTCGCGATCAAGATGGCTCACAAAAGGGTCGGTGCAGGAGACATCACAGAAGGCATGCACAGGATTTGGATCCTGCTGGGTGGCTCGGATCGGAGGTCGACCACCAGAAGGCCGCGGAGATTGGGAGTCACCCAAGAGATGTTGGAGTGGCTTGGTGAGGAGCTTGTGGGGTCCTTTGGAGGAGAAAGGACCAGCCCCACATATGCAGACTCGGTGATGGTTTTCTCAGCCCTGTCGACGGCCTGGTTCTTCATGTTGAGGGCCAAAGAGTTTGGAGAGTCAAATGGCGTGGACATGGAGATGATCATCAGAGGACAAGATCTTCGTTTCTCGGCCAATGGCAGACCAGCCGGGGAGGAAGCAGAGGAGATAACCCTGACCTTCAGGAAGACAAAGGTGGACCAACTAGCCTTTGGAGATGCAAAGACTTTGAAGGCCACAGGCAGACGTTACCTGTGCCCGGTTGAAGCGCTGGTGAGGATGAGAAAGACATGGCCCAACCGGTTTCAGAAGGACCACCAGGAGAGCAGCCTCCCATTGTTCCGTTGGGCGTCTGGAACAGTCCTGAAGAGATTAGAGGTACAACATCTCTTACAGAAAGCAGCTGAAGGTGTTGGGTTGCAGGGCGACAGGTACATGGCGCACAGCTTGAGGATCGGAGGAGCTACGGCGCTCTACCAGGCGACAGGAGACATTGAGCTGGTTAAGAGGATTGGCAGATGGACGTCATCGGCAGTGCACAGGTATTTGGAGGACGGGGGCACCATTTCAAATGCCTCACGAAAGATGGCTGATGTTCGTTTGAAAAACATTTGAGTGGAACTGGAGGAGGGACAGAAACACACGATGGAGTGTGATGTTGAAGTATGATGGAGTTTTTGTGTTTGGGGCAGACAAGGCAAAGCCACAGCACAGGTGGCATCTGTCCCTGACAGCTCCAAAGATGAGGTGTGCTGCGCCGCCAAAATGCGCAGGGCACGTGCGTACACTAAAGTTAGGGAAATAAATAGGGAAATAAATTAGGGAAATAATTTATGGAAATAAATAGGGAAATAAATAGGGAAATAAATTGGGAAATACATAGGGAAATAAATGGGGAAATAAATCGGGAATAAATGGGGAAATGAATAGGGGAATAAATAGGGAAATGAATAAGGAAATAAATAGGGAAATAAATCGGGAAATAGTTCGGGAAATAAATAGGGAAATAACTAGGGGAATAGATAGGGAAATAAATTGGGAAATAAATAGGGAAATAAATCGGGAAATAAATCGGGAAATAAGTAGGGAAATAAATAGGGAAATAAATTGGGAAATAGATGAGGGAAATAAATTAGGGCAATAAATTAGGGAAATAAATAGGGGCAAAAATCGGGAAATAAAGAGGCAAAAAAAAAGGGAACTAATTAGGGAAATAAATAGGGAAATAAATTAGGGAAATAAATAGGGAAATACATAGAGAAATAAATAGGGAAATAAATTAGGGAAATAAATAGGGAAAAAATTGGGAAATAAATCGGGAAATAAGTAGGGAAATAAATGGGGGCATAAATAGGGAAATACAGAGGGAAATAAGTAAAGAAATAAATTAAGGAAATAAATTAGGG